ATCATCTCAACGAAGAAAAGATCCTCACTCGTTTTATAACTCAAGAAGATAAAGAAAGCGGAAAAGAATCAGAAAACTATGCAACCTGGCATCAGCAAGATCATCTTCTTGTGTCCTGGCTGCTCTCTTCCATGAATATATCGTTCAAGAACAGAATGGTAGGATGAAAATTTTCCCATGAAATCTGGACAAGGCTGCAAGTGTACTTTGCTTCCCATACACAGGCAAAAGTTAAACAATTGAAAAACCAATTGAAAACCATCAAGAAGAAAGGACCAGCATCAGAATATCTTCTTCAAATCAAGAAGATCATTGATTCTTTGGGAGCTGTAGGTTCACCATTAACTGATGCAGAATATTCAGAAGCTATTCTTGATGGGCTGAGTGAAGAGTACACTCCATTAATCACTTCTGCAATGTCAAGATCCCCACCCTTTTCCATAATTGAGTTGGAAGCTTTTCTTCTTGCTCAAGAAGAAATGCTCGAAAAATTCAAGAAGACTGATCTTGTTCCCATTCAGGCAAATGTCACACAAACTAATGTACATCCGGAAAACAGATTCAACAATAAAGAAGGCAGATCCTTTGGAGGAAGAAGAGGCAGAGGAGGCCGCGGCTTTAGAGGTGGTAGATCACAAGGTCAACCTTGGGATTCTTGGAATCAAAATCGGTTGCAATGCCAAATCTGTGGAAGGATAGGACACCCTGCCTTGAAATGTTTTTACAGATTTGATTCCAACTTCCAACCATCATCACAAAATACTCAAAATCACCAACCTCCTCCACCTCCACCTCCTTCATTTCACAACCCCAAGGCATATATGGCAGGACCTGCATCACTCACTGACAGCTCTTGGTATCCAGATTCTAGAACCACTCATCACCTCACCAATGATCTTGGTAATCTCTCTTCCAGCTCTGAGTATAATGGCTCTGAGCAAGTTCATATTGGAAATGGTGCAGGTATGCATATTCAACATGTTGGCAATTCATTTTTAACCTCATCTGCATCTCCTTTTCTTTTTAAACTTGATAATCTGTTACATGTACCTTCCATAACCAAAAATTTAATTAGTGTGTCTCAATTTGCTAGAGATAACAAAGTATATTTTGAATTTTTTTCCTGATTATTGCCTTGTAAAATCTCAGGTCACTAAAGACATTGTCCTCAAAGGCAAGCTTAAAGATGGTCTCTATCAATTTTCGAATGTATTAGTTAATAAATGCTCATCTGTTCCTACACCCCCTATAGCTTTGTATTCTAAACATGTTTCTTTTGATCTATGGCACAAAAGATTAGGCCATGCTAGCTCCAAAATTGTTACATTTGTATTACAACAATGTAATCTTCCTGTTTTTGATAATAAAACCACAATGACTAATTTTGTTTGTGAAGCCTATTGTTTAGGCAAAATTCATCAATTACCTCACTTTACTTCTACCACTTCTTATGCTGCTCCTCTTGACCTCATCTTTTCGGATGTATGGGGACCAGCTCCAATTTCTAGAACCTCTGGAAGCAGATATTATATTTTATTTGTGGATGCTTTTACTCGATACAGTTGCATTTATCTCTTGCAAAATAAGTCTCAAGTTTTTCAAGCCTTTTTACAATATAAATCTATGATTGAAACTCTCACTGGTTTAAAAATCAAATCAATTCAAACTGACAATGGAAAAGAATACTTATCTCATGCTTTTATTCACTTTCTGCAAACTTATGGCATCACTCATAGACTCACATGTCCTTACTCTCATCAAAAGAATGGTAGAGTTGAAAGAAAACATAGACATATCATAGAAGTTGGTCTAGCACTCTTGGCTAATGCCAAACTTCCTTTTTCATTTTGGGATGATGCTTTTTCGACTGCTACTTATCTCATAAATCGGTTGCCATCTCCTGTTACAAATTTTAAATCACCTTTTGAATTGATTTATCATAACAAACCTGATTACAAGTTTATGAAAGTTTTTGGCTGTGCATGTTTTCCTTTACTTAGACCATATAACAAACATAAACTTGATTTCAGATCTCACAAATGTCTGTTTTTATGATATGCAATCAATCAAAAAGGTTACAAATGCCTCTCCCCCACAGGAAAGATTTATATTTCTAGAGATGTTATTTTTGATGAAATTGATTTTTCCCTATTCAGTTTTATTTCTTAACACTACTGCTACCACATTTTGTACATCTCCTCATTCTTCTCTTCCTAAAATACCTTGCATCTCTAAGCATACTAAACCTCAGTTTTTACCAGCTGTCACTAATACATCCTGTCCATCATCACCCACCATATCACCAGATGCTACTAATGTTTTGTCTAGTTTTTCTCCTTCAGGTTCTGCACATCAGTCCTCACATCACATTTCTACTACCACAACTGTTGATAGTTCTACTTCTCTCTCTATTCAGAATTCTTCTCCTCTTAATTCTCACCCTATGCAAACCAGAAGCAAGTCTGGAATCCACAAACCCAAGACATATGCCACTGCATTCCTCGACTCATCATCAGAACTTCAAAATTCTGAACCTAAGAATGTGTCTCAAGCTTTAAATTGTCCTCATTGGAAGCAAGCTATGGCTGAAGAATTTCAGGCCCTCATCAAAAATGGAACTTGGACTCTTGTTACTCCTCCACCCAACATCAAACCTATTGGTTGCAAGTGGATTTTTCGCATCAAAAGACAACCAAATGGCACAATTCAAAAATACAAGGCTCACCTTGTTGCAAAGGGTTTTCAACAAAAGGAAGGTTTTGACTTCAGTGAAGTTTTCAACCTGTCATCAAGCCCTCTACAATTCGACTCATACTCTCCATTGCCCTTACAAATGGCTGGATCATAAGACAGTTTGATTTTAACAATGCTTTTCTTTGTGGTACTTTACATGAAGATGTCTTCATGCATCAACCTGATGGATTTCCTAGCCACAATCCTCATCTTGTATGCAAGCTGAACAAATCCCTTTATGGCCTCAAACAGGCTCCTCGTGCATGGTTTAATACTCTCAACCTTACATTACAAAAATTTGGTTTCAATAGTACCAAATCTGATCCTTCATTATTCACCCGATTTACTTCCACAACTACCTCCTACATCCTTGTGTATGTTGATGACATATTGATTACTGGCAACAACTCATCTGAAATCTCATCTCTTATATCTCAACTTAACAGTATTTTTTCTCTCAAAGATCTAGGACAACTTCACTATTTTCTTGGACTAGAAGCAGTCTACACCTCTCCTACAACTATTCACCTTAGCCAAACTAAATACATTACTGATCTTTTAGAAAAGGCAAATATGAATTCTGCGAAATCCATGCCTACTCCAATGCTTACAGGTCAGAAATTATCAATGGAAGGTGACACTGCCTTCTCAGATCCTACTTTGTATCGATCTATTGTTGGTGGATTACAATATGCCACTATCACTAGACCCGATCTTTCATATGTTGTCAACAAAGTAAGCCAGTTCATGCATAAACCTCTCGAAACTCATTGGAAAGCTGTCAAACGCATACTAAGATACTTAGCTGGAACCAGAACACATGGTCTTATCTTTCACCAATCCAAGGACCTTTGGTTACTTGCTTTCTGTGATTCTGATTGGGGGTTCGATATTGATGATCGAAAATCTACTAGTGGTTTCTGTGTATATCTTGGTTCAAATCTTATATCATGTCAAGCAAAAAGCAACATGCTGTATCTCGATCCAGCACAGAAGCTGAGTTTCGCAGCTTAGCCTCTACCTTGGCAGAAATCACATAGCTACATTCACTCCTTTATGAGCTTCACATTTCATGCACTGCTCTTCCAACAGTTTTTTGTGACAATGCCAGCACTGTTATGTTAGCAGAAAATCCAATTCTCCATAGTCATACAAAACACTTCGAACTAGATCTCTATTTTGTACGGGATCGGGTAATTCAAAAGCAAGTCTTTGTTCAACACATCCCTGGAACAGAACAAATTGCAGACCTCCTCACCTAGCCTATTTTCGCTACCACTTTTCTGTCTTTTAGAAACAAACTCAGAGTCTTTCCATTGCCACTGAGTTTGAGGGGGGATGATAGATAAAATTGTTCTGTTATACAAGTCTGTTATTTTCTGTTATTTTACTTTTCCCAACTGCTATATATAGCAGCACTCATGTATCCTTTGTGATCAATCAATACAATAATATTTCATTCAATCTCTTTCTTCTATTTCTATTTTCTCTCTTAACACCGTGTGTGAATCCCTCTCTTTAAGCATCAAGGTCCGATACCTCACAAGATTCATCATTCGACTACTTAATAACAACCATTTTTTCTAATTATCAAAGCACTAAAATAAAAGAATTATAATTGGTAGTGTAATTGCCTAACTGGCCCAAGCACCCTGTGTTTACAATTGATAATCTTCTAAGCGTTTGGGCTTGCCCTTCAACCTAGTGGGCCTAACACTCTTTTGGACAGCTTGTGAAGAATGACCCGCCACATTCCCTCCCACTTGAAAAACGACATCGTTCGCGATGTTGGGAGCTTGAAACGGTCTGTTTATAATTTGTGAAATTAAATGAGTCAAGTATATAAATCTTTGTAAAACAAATGAGATTCTTCACCTCTTATACGGAACAATAATTAACAAAAATGGCAATAAATTTCTTTATTACCATATATTGAAACCTTACCAGACCCATCCATTGCTGCAATGGATCAACACGTGTATTGAAGTGACTAGGTAAGCAGCAAGCACCAATCAAGAACCCCAACGTCATTCAATAAATAGTTAACACAGTGCCTCATCTATATAATATAGAGACGAGAGAATCTATCGCTATGTATACGGTACCAAATCCTTAAATTGGATTTGGATATCATAACAATTTAGGTAATTTTGCCAATCAAAAACTATTCTAAGGTTATAGAGGGATCAACTTGAATTTCTTAAAAAAAAAATAAAGGGTAATAGAATACTATAGCAAATAAACTTTGATTGAATGTTGCATAACGGAAGTATCAATATTCCAATCTCTCAAAATTACCCACTTCATGGCATCCAATATTATTTATTCCAAATGACATGAGAAATATCAGATCCAAGCATGCCGTATTTTCATCACCAAAATTGGACCAACACGGAGTCTCAAGGAAATTAACTCCAATAACCCTGTAATTTCTTTTTCTACCCAAAAATAAAAAGGTAGAAAAGATTAATAAAAAAATTGGACCAAACTTCTAGACAGGGCTTCATTTAGATAAAGCACTTACTCATTATGGAAGAAAAAAATGACACGAATGTAAACCTAAAATTTGAAAAGATTGGCAGCCAAAAATACCCTAAACTGGGAGTAGACGTTTGAATGCCACCCGGAAGATTTCTGACCTTCCTTAGTTACTTTGAAAATGAATTTCCTCTTCTTGCTTTCCTTTCAAGGTTACACTTACCTTCTTCCATCAACACCAACTAAACTTCAAAAGAGCATGTAGTATATACTGAAACTTTTTCGGTTAACTACCTCAGGGTCAACAAAACTCATTCTAATTTTGCTGAGCCACAACATTATCAAGCTGCAGTTGTTCAAGCCATGATCCTAATACAGCGTGATCAACAGAATCCATTTGTGTGCTTATATTTGATCCCTGAATGGAGGATCCAGCTTCTACAGCACTTGGGACAGTGGTTGCCAACTTCTCCTTCATCTCAGTAGGGGATTCTTTAACAAGGGACTGGACCCATGATAAATCAGGCTCCTCACCATTATTGCCAAGCTCAAATGAAGATGATCTACGTAGCTTACCTAATTCATCAGCACTGACAGCCCAATCCAACGTACCATCGGAGGATCCCCATTCTGACAAAGAATTGATTGTAGACCCAGCAGCAGCAGAGCCAAGTTCCCGGGAGCTAAGGCTACGAAATTGTTGCTGCTTCTCACGTTGAGCTAGCATAGAAATCCTAGAACTCATTGGAGAAATAGGTTCCACATTTCGTGGAGACATCCTTCCTGATGGTTGAACCCCAAAAGAGGCTTGAAATAAAGGATGATCAACATTTTGAGAAGAAAAGTTTGTATTCACGGGTGACAGCAAGCTTTGCTGCTGCTGAAATTGATTAAGGACGGCTGATTTGTGTGTTGGAGAAAAAACAGCTGAAGCCAATGCTGGATCAGCAAACCGAGGAGAAGAACTCTCAGCAGAAAAGAGATCATCAAGATTTGAAGGGGTCAGGGTTTTCATGCGACCAGAGCGATTGATGGTATTAGAATTCATAGGCTGTTGAGAGAGGCAAGATAACTCATTAAAGTGCTGTTGCCGCTGAACATCAAAGTCATGCAACAAGTCGAAGTTATCCCCAGGAATATCTCTGGCATTGAATGAAGATCTCAAACGACTGGAATGAAGATTACTCCCAGGAAGATGCAAGGCTGGGACATTTGGTTGGGGCCATGCAACAGAAGAGTATGACATGCCATTGGCAGAGGGTGACATAGGTGGAGTGAATGGTGAAGGAGACATGACAGACATAGCCGAAGGAGAGCCAGGTAACAGGCTCATGGCTGCAGCAAAATCCATTGCAGATGTGCTTGAGCGAGGAGATGGAACAGCAGAACCAGTTGAAACATATAATGGCCGAAGCTCCTCGGCAGTGTGGGCAAAAAAGCAAACTCTTCTGGAGCAACTAGTCCCATCCTTGCAAAGGCGAGTTCGATATTGTGCTGGATGCAGCCAGCACTCAAAAACTCCATGAGCATAGTCACACATATCTCCACGCCGGCAAGCACCCTTTCGAAAATCAGGACAAGGGACACAGCTGTAATGGTACTTTCTTGGGTCCCTTCTTCGAGCATTCTCCCCTGGATGAACAAAAGGACATTCAGTCCAATCATGTGAATAAGCACGTGAACAAGGTCGAATCTTGAAAGAATACATTCGGAATTCATCAGTTGAATATATGCTATTCTTGATGTCTGGAAGAGATGGATCAACAGGATACTCTTTTTTCTCTGATGCAGAAGAAAAAGGGACATCATTTAGCTTTGACTTCAATTGGAGATCGGGTGCAGAAGGAGACCCATTCTCTGGTGAAGCTGATAAAGGTGGGGAATATGTGTTTGATGGGTCTGTGATCACCCTAAGACCACACCCTGCAGTGGAATCCTTGGTTTGAAGAAGTTCTTCAAGACTGCTTTTCACAAAGTCAAGCTTAGGAGGAACAACAATAACATCAACTGGACGATGACCATTGCCATCCACAGAATTTGGATCAGCCCCCTCTGCTAGAAGCAGTTTAACAACATCAACAGCATTTACAGCCCCACCTGATGCCGCACAATGAAGGGCAGTGCACTTGTCAAGGCCACAAGGTTTATTAACATGATAATCGGATAGTGAAAGAATCAGTTTCATAACATCAATGCTACCATAAGTAGCAGCAACCATCAAAGGAGTTCTGTGCTCATTGACAATCTGCTTTGATCCCTTCGGACGACTGTACCATAGCCCAATCTCATCTACACAGGAAGGATCCCGTTCAATCATTCGTTTGAAACCTTCAACATCATTATTGGCTGCAAGCTCAAGCAAGCTCACAAAAGAATATTCAGTATCAACGGTCAAGTGGTTCATCATGTGGCTTCTGGGTTGAGATGTGCTTAACAAAATAGGAGATAGAGTCGGAGACGGTGATGGCTTTAACTTCTCCAAATGCTTTCATTAGCAGCAGGTTTAGCTGAGGAAAAAATCACAAACCCATTAAACCTAGCCTTCACAGGCACATTTATTCAACTCTATGAAATAAGAAGAAGAATAACCAAGCATTCAAATGCATAAACAGCCATACCACAAACAGTTATTGAACCTTCAAACATATGATGTTTCCATGAGATTTGCAGGTGACTATTCATCTAATTGAACCTCTAAAGTAGAAAGACTAAAACTGAAGAATCGTTTTCCAATTTAAAACACTCACCAAAACAATAAAGATAAAAGAAAGAGACGTTAAAGGACATTAGAAACAAAACAAACCTATTCATCAACCCAGGAACAAGGAAATCAAACTGTGATCGACCCATGAACTTAACAGAATATGTTCGCTATAAAAAATCCAGATTTCCAGAAGGCCATCAACAACAGAAGAGCATCATTCCAAACAAAACTAATTTCAAGGGCTCCCTTGTCTTTTTCAGCACATGGCAAAATAAGCTTAATTAACCAAGAAAAAGTCCAAGATTATGTAATCCAAGACAAAGTCAAAAAAGACAGCGATTGAGCCAATAGGGTATGCACTGGTCTCAAATGCTCATTGACCATAAAACAATTTGAAGATCAAACTAATGATGAACTTTATCACATCTCTGGCACTCATTTTCTTTCACAATATCTCACAAAAAAAAAAAAAAAAAAAAATTGGGTTACTATTTAGGAAGGAGGAACAAAAAAAAACAATAACAACAATAACCCAAATTTACATTGCTCCAATTACTATCATCATCTCAAAAAAAAAAAAAAAAAAAAAGGTGAGAAAGAAAAAAAACACACGCTGACTCAAAAATTTTTTCTCTCTGACAGCACAATATCAGAATTAGTGTAAAAACGGTGTTAGTGTTTAACAATGAAACCATCTGAACGTGAAATATAGATTCAAAAGCAAAACTTGAACGTGATCTGAGCTTCGATGGAAGTGAAACTTACCGGCTCTTGTTCATTGCACAAGAAAACCCCATCACAGAGAAAGAGAGACAGAGAGAGAAAGAGAGATCTCAACGGGGAGCAAAGTAGCTGAAGGGAGCTTCAGACAAAGGGTGTTTGAATACCAAGAAAATTGGGAGTGGGAGAGAGAAAATATAGTTCGACGAGAAAATAGGAATCAGAAAAGAAAAGCTTCTTCTTATTTCTCCATTCCTTATGCTATTTGAAAAAAAAAAATTGCAAGAAAAAAAAGACACTTAAATTTTTTTAATTAATTAGTACGTATTCTTTTATTATTTTTTGTTTTGATAAAATCGTCAGACCAATAAAAATGAAAATTGAAAAACATAAAAAAAGGCTAAGCGCACTTGAGTTGAGAGTTACAGTTTGATTATTCTTCCACAGCACCTTTGTGCCTTTTTTTATTTACCAATCACATCATGCCACGTCACAATGCAGGGACTCGATCGTCATTCTGCAAAAATCTTTGGAAATATATGTACATTCGCAAGTTCCTCGATTTTCACTGTGTGACGTGGTGATTCTTTAAAATTGAGTACGACAAAACGCTTCGTGTAATAACTTAACCCCTTTTTTTTGGGGGTCAAATTCTCTGGAAATTCAACCCAAATTCATCTTACATTACGTTACATGTTAAATTTGGACAAAAGCTAGGATCCAGTGTACCCTACTTTCCCTGGTGTCCTTGTCTATGTGACTTGGCGTGATACTATTGGCTTGTTTTCGATAACAACAAAGAAGTCCCTTCCTTTTTGTCTTTGTTTAATTGGATATGCAACTGCCATAAAAGGACTTTGTATGAGAAATGGATTTTGGCAGTTAATCTATACTATATTATAATTTAAAATTATTCTGTAGAAAGTTTTGTCATTGTAATTTATTCAATAATTTTGATTCTTTTAAAAAAGTATAAACTTTTCATATTAAGCAAGTTTTTTTAAAAAATTATACGGGGAAGGATATTGTGACAACCAAGTTGTGTTACTACCAAGTGACTACCAATCAATCTTACCGTTAGATCGATTATATTGATCCAACGGTTATATTTATATAGATCTTCGTATAGATGTTATTCCCCAAATTTAATACTTTATATTTATTTTCACCTTTGTATGGTTATGATTTCCCATATTTAATACTTTCACTTTAAATATGGGGAATCATGACCATACAAAGATGGAAATAAATATAACCGTTGGATCAACATAATCGATCTAACGGTGAAATTGATTGGTAGTCACTTGGTAGTAACACAACTTGATTGTCACAATATCCTTCTCCTTATATTATATGTGTCGTAGGCTATGTGGGATTTGATTCATAATGCAACTCAATTAATTTAAATATTAAATTAATAAAATTAATTTGAATTTTAATTTTGAATCTCGAATTTAAAATTTGAACTTAAATATAATCATGAAATTAAATTTGATGACAATGGAAAAAATTAAGGAAACATTAATTAAATTGATTTACTCAAATTACGGAAATCAATTAATTGAATTGATTGGCTAAAAATAGAAAAACCAATCAATTGAATTGATTGTATAAAAAAAATGAAATTACCCAATATGATTGGGAAGTGATGGGATGCTAATCAAGGGGTTGATTAGCCAACATATTTAGTTTTATTTTTCCATATTTAAATGAGACATTTTTCTTATTTGCTCCATCCAAAATCCTAATCGAAAATTATTCCATTCTTTGAAAAGTTTGTTGATAGAGTTGTGGTATCTTTAAACAATTTTAATGTCTTACCAGTATGATTGTAACGCTCCGTTGTACACATGGTTTGTTAATATTATGTATGATGTGAAGCGTAGTTACAATCACAATGGTTCAATTAAAAATACGGCTAAATATTTTCTTTTTCAACCTTGGACGTTTCCAATCAAAATCATTACCGTATTTGAAATAACCAGAACTGTGACATTGCGAAATAATTAATTCTATACTTACATATCATATGACACTTATTTATTGATGCTAAGTGGTTTCCATAAACCAACAAAGCCAATTTCACACTTTTAGATTATCAACACTGAACCAGTCTCGGTTTTTCCTAAAATGGAACTGATCCACTTGACCATAAATTATCATCTTTTAGTATATTGTTCTAGACTTCTCAATCTTTACAACGACATATTACACGCCTCTATAGGAATTGTATAACTCTAGATATGTCTGTTGTAAGTTAATTATCTAAAATTGTTGTCAGTGAACATATGGCTGTACATAAATCTCAAAACAAAGGGATGTTCGTCCGCCTATAATTCTTTCGTACCATTTTTATTTTAAACTAGACATCTAGGGTTTTAATTTGACATGCATATGCCTCGTTTCGTTGAGGTATAAAGGAGATATTAATTTTACAAAATTCAACCAATATGATGTCAACACAGGGAAAATTTGAGCAATGTTCACTCTTTTAAAAACTGGGCGTGTGCCAGAAAATCTCATCTTTTAGGACAAGAAATTAGACACCATAAGCTTTAATTTGATACCTTACACATTTTATTTGGTTAAGAAATGAGTGAGATATTCCCTTTCAAAATATGTAATCAGAAGTATACAAAATTTTGACAACACTTCATTGCTTTTATGTCTTAATGTTTTCTTACCTAATTGACAATTTGATAACATGTACATACATTTATCTTGCCGATTCAAGGCCTGATCCATTGATTCATCCATCAACCAACTTCGCCTATACATAAAATAAAAATCACACAACGATCCATCGATGGATCATTTACATCAACTATATGCATACAAAACATATATTCAACGACGAAACCAAACGTACAACATAACGTCAAGTAAAGAAATACATACATAATATGAGATATCCTATACATACTCTCTAAACATATGACATAGGCATATCCAAAAGGCATAGACATCTACTATGCTCTCAAAATACATATCCACAAAATAACAACAACATCAGCATGCATTAAAAGACAATCTACAGTGGCCTCCTGCCAACAGATGCTTCTACACCATCAGTACCTGAAAATAAGTGCCCCAAACATGGGGTGAGATATATATACACATATATCTCAGTAAATTAAGGGTCTTTGGATGATTCCTCCACCCCAAAGTTGACTTCAAGTGTAAAAGCAATAACATATTAATGTTGCATATATATATATATATCCATGCAATGTGTAAAATATCTCCACGAGACATCCCTACGGCGTACTCTTTCCATCCACAAGATACTTAGATATAAAATAGTCTTACTAATCAGGGAATCTACCAAATATGAATTATGCATCGTCATGCAACACGTAGACATAGGAAACCACCATCCTATGCCACGCAAAGCATACACATACATATATTGAAGCATCAAACAACCAATCATTGCAATTACATACACAATACAAACCAACACCCTTTCACGGCTTGGTGAAACAATTACCTGGGGATAAATTTCAAGGTCCGAAAGCTTACCTCTGAAGCTTCCAAAATAGCTAGCTTCCAACACAGGTTACCTCTGCAACAAGAGATTCACTTGATGATCACACAAGACAACTAGACAATATCAACACCTATATCCAGGTGAAGAAAATACTATCAACAATAATCCAATACTTGTTACTTGTAACACAAGTAACCCAACACCTATGTCAGAATTTTGAAAATTCCAAAAGTGGTCAAAATGACGTTTTGAACATATTTCCACCTGTTATTTTTAATCTTTATCATTTTTTCCAACTACAACAAAGTCCAAAAGTTCCTTGAACATCTTTATTTAAGCAACACTTTCTTTAGGAAAACCCACAAATAAATCATCATGAAACAAGATGAAAATAAGATTTTCTTACCACAAAAGTCTTCAAAATGGCCTAATGAATGAATTTCAAGCTTTAAAAGAACCAAACCACCTCTCTTTTAGACATGACACCATGAAAACCACCACCTATATGGTGAGTTTTCGCTTCACTCACAACTCCTCTGAAGATAAACTTAGGTGGTTATGATTACCAAAGGATTTCTAACATTTTTCATGTTCAAAGTTTTTTGATTTGGTGAATAAATAAAAAGTTGCAAATCCAAGCTCCAAGGCTATGGAGGGTTCAGCCAAGGAGAAGGAGAAGAAAATGAGACTTAGCTTAGCTTATAAGACATTTAGTTAGTAAGCCACTTTTTTTTTACTTTTTTGCCAAATTATAAAATATCCAAACTACAAATTAATTATTTATCCTTCTTGAAACTTCTCTTATAATTCAAGACTTAAACATTTTTACTTAATTCAAGATTCACAACTAGGATTTAATAATGTCACACTACATTATTTTCAAGCTCCAGGCAATTTTTGTATAATTACTAATTTTCCCTTATACTTATACAGATTGCATTTTCACCACTTATTATCACCTAATTAGATTCTCAACCTAATTAGACCATCATAATCTTGATTAAATCAATAATCAATCCACAAATTTTAATTTCAAAGGTTAGGGTTATTATAATGATGACAGTCAAACATGTGATGTTGCTGATGTCCCCCTCACTTTATTGTCATTGTTGATTATAAAATCTGATGCTGTCAAGCAAGAAGATTTTAATTGTTCAGTTAACCATCCTAACAAAAATATTAAGATAGAGAAAGAGTTAAGTACTTACCCATTATTTGTGTGTTTATAATATTTTATTATATATTATTTCTATATTTTATAACATTAATACAATATAGTGACCCCAATAAAAAAAAGTTAATTAGTTCTATTACTGAAGTCAAAGACACCTTGTTGGAGAAAGGAAAGTTTTATATATGGACAGAGTTGTTGGAGAAGAAGTTGTGTAGCATCAATGTTCTTCTAGGTGTTGTTGAACTATATATTTGAGTATTTTAGATAGGAAATATACAATGTCTTGATATTTATTTGACGTTTGATTGAACAATTGTGGATGATTGTATAATATTTAACATGAGGTTAAATATTAATTATTTGACGTTATGGTATTTAATATAATCTAATTATTTTCTTCTTCTTCTTCTAAAGTTAATCTTTTGCAATAATTAATATACAATAATTCGCTTATTACTTGAAATTTGGAAATATTTATTCCTTTATTTAATTACAAAAAGAAGTTTAAT